AAAACTTGTCGCAAAAGCTTCAAAGACGATCCACGTAAAAAAAAAACTATGTTGTCCATACCAAAGATAGTATTTTAGCAATAGAGTTCTTAGTACCCAGAAGTGAGCCCACCGCTATAACTGTGGTGTCTATTACTCTAAAGAAATAGATAAGCTAGAGTGCTCTGATCTTAACTTTATTCGAGCAGTGGTGTTTTATAGTAATTGGAGCAACTAAGCGCTGTAAACTAGCAGATTGACAAAGTTAGTAATGGTCTTCATTATTGGATTTTCCCACACGTTTGAGGTACACACTTAAATTTTATGTTATGAAATGAGTGCAATAGTAGAGCTTAAAAGCATTATATATCATGAGGCCCTGATTAAGTCATATGTATCATATTATCTGGTAATACGGATATGATTAATTAATAAGGAAGACAGAAACATATCTAATGACTGTATGGCTCATTTTTTTAAGAGATACATTGAAAATAATCACAAAAATGCTAGTGTATATCATGTGGATAAATGTCAACTTACTATTAAATTCAAGATTTGAGAAGAATCTAACGTATCTGTCCAGAGAATACACATCGATATGTGGGCTCAAACAGATCAAACTAAAAATCCATTCAGGTATAAGCTAAAAAAACTCAGAAACTGAAGATACAATATCTCGATTATATGATACTTGGAGAGACAATGAAGTACAAATAGATAAAAAAAATGGATGAAATCATGTATATCATGTATAAAACAATAAGAACTTAACAATGCTTTAACCGAAATCGCTATGATGGGAAAACGAATATCTGTTATAACTTAAAGGTTGTCACAGTGATAAGTAGAACAAGAGTAGCGTAGAATATTTATTCGAATATTTTTTACAATCAGAAAGATGTTTAAATACTGTAATATTCTATTTTTGCAATAATACAATATGGTATGGAAAAGAATATATGTTAAGAACTAAATCAACCATCTACTGATGCAAGTGATAGTCAATATATATCCATTAAATATTTATGGACTTATGAAACCAACAAATATAATCTAAGGACCACAGACAATGAGTACTTGGCAATACTTTATAAAGGTTTGCGATCACCAAAAATACTCAATCAATTTGAGTACATGTTGTGATTCACAATCATTTATAGTGCCTTCAAGGAATTCTTCATTTTCAAACTCATACTACATGTACTACCACAAAGCTCTACTATATAATTTAAATAACTTTTCTATGTAACGCTGGTATATTTTTACATAAAGTAAATGAAATTTTAGACATCCACCGGATATTCAGTAAGTAATATCCGGTGTATATTTCACTGAGCTCATATCCAATAATACGAGTAATACTGAAGTATAAAAGTAGTGCATGCCTAAAATGTGGTGTATGGTAAAGAGTAGGGGCTCATAAATATGTTCATACCTATAGAAATTGTAAAATATAATCTCAAAACCCCTAGGCAGCTTCCGCAAAACTTTTCACACGCAGTGCTGAATTAACTATTTGCCCTGGGTTATTTGTGGTTCGCACTGAACTACAGTATGTTACGTTGACGAACTCAGTAGTTATTTAGCAGAAGTGTTTTATTGATATCCTTTAGCTCATATGCTCTTTCATATCCGTCATTTAGGTTTTTATTAAAATATTTGGATTTATTTGAAATCAAAAGCAAAGCTTTTAAACACATTTCGTTAAGGAAACATCATAGATACGGTACGAGATTTGCTGAGGAGGTGCAACCTACCATCAATCCATATCCATGTGCATACACACCATAGCTTTGCTAAGGATTTGCTGCCGTTTTTAGTGCAAACTCTTTTATTGCATTCGTTATTGTAGTGTAAATGTGGATTAAAGTTCTTGCCTTTTTAAATCGCTTCATCCTTTCCTATGTTTTTGCGATTTCAGTACAAAAGCATCAGCTTAAGCGCAGAAATCACTTTTGTATCCTTCAGGCATTTTTTCGTGTACCATTTCAGTTGACACTTCGCTGTCATGTGAGGTGATGTTTAAAAAAAAATAAAAAAAGAAAATAAAAAAGGATATGAAAAAAATATATTGAAAAAACTTCTAAAAGTAATCCATTAAAAAAAAAAAAGAAAATACGAAAATGGAAAAACATATCCACCAGAGGAACATGAGCAATTTTTGTGTACTAGAATTTCAATTAAATCCTTCATATGCGACTGATTGGGAAAAATAGTGACGAAAAAATGAAAAAGACTATGGAATAGCGTGTAAGTCACGTTTCAGAATTAATTTGTTAAAGAAATTTTACAATTAAAAAAAAAAAAATCTTTACTTTGATCAAATTTGAGCTCTTCCTAATCTTCGAGGAAGTAATCCTTTTTCCGGAATTTTTGTGTTATAAACCCGGTTCTGAGTATTGCGAAAACCTTATATAAATATTCTATAATATGCACCAAATAGGTCATCTAAATCTGGAATTGATGGGTTAAATATGTTAACTAGCACATAAAATCTTTAATCGAAAATAAGATTGATACTAAGTTCTTGAAGCCCGTCCGGTAAATAAAGTAGTCTGATTATATAATAACTATTATTGGAATGTCTGCTAGATTCGTAAGCTCTGACACTAAAATTAATGTATCAAATTAATTTGAAAATAAACGGTGATGTTGCCATAATCAAGATCAAGATATAAAATCAATTTTAAATGACGGTCTTACGTCGAGTATGCATTGACATCCGCGCATGGCTTTGATAGGTGCAATACGCATTTGTCTCAGAACAGCACTGGATTCTACTGTCCAACTTACCTTTCAACATTTCTTTATTTATAAGAAACTACCTTAAAGAGCAGCTAGACTGGACACTGTTTTTAATATGTACCACCGAATTTGCAATTAAAACTCTCTCTGTGGACTGGTTCCTGTCATAGAGATCTTCGGTAAACCAGACTTCATAAGTATTTAATTTTACTTAGACGGAAAATTGAAAGTCTTTATTTCCGATGGGAAGAATATCATTCCTGGTTTGGGTCTGAAAATATTCTCGTAGTATAATCGTTGTATAAAAACTAATGGTGCTAATGGTAATGGTATTCACCTCAACGCTAGTGTCTCTTACACACTAGTTATCTAAATTCACTATATTTTAGCGGAGGTACATGCTATTGAGTTCTGGTATTCCTTAAGAATTCATAGACTTCCATAGCGAAATGTCACAATCTTACTAATACTGGGTATTTGCAAAAAAAAGAGTTCAGTTGCCGCTTTTTTCTCTTCGTCCCTGCAGTATGACTCACTTTTTTAAGAGATACATTACTTACAAAAATGCTAGTCAAGTGGATATATATCAAACTTACTATTAAAGGTAAAATTTGAGAAAAATCTAGCGTATCTGCTCCATAGTATATACATCGATTCAAACCGTTAAAATTAGAAATGCACACATGTTTAAATTAAAGAAACCCAGTAATTAGAGGAACTAAAGACCTGCCCTCAGGTCTGCTTGTGGGAGATAGTCAGTTCTTTTTTCTAGTAACTACTAAATATATACAACGGACTAATATTTAAGTTGGAGTAGGCTTTGGGCAGAAGGCCACCGTTTCAATCTAAGCTAACTAGCAAATTGAAATAGATTTCTTCAGCGGAGACTGTAAAAAGTAATAAGTCAATAGATTTGTTTCGCTTTTCCTAAAGCTGGTATGTTAAATATGACCTCTTGTCACCCACCAATGAAGTCATCTGTGCAGTTTATGTGTTCAATGCTGTTTGCAGGAACTATGACTTATTCCTTTCAGAATTCTTTTAATTGAATTGTTAATTGCAAATTTTTTATACCTTTTGAACGTTTTATTGATGTATCCTAAAGAGTGTAGACCACTCCCGTCTTACTCGTCAGAAATTCGTAATGACTTTGGGTATTTTCTGCTCCATTTTTCATGCACAAAAGTGTTTAGAATGTGGCAACTATGAAATGCTGAAATGTTGAAATGCATTTGATGCTTTGCCATAAACATTTCGGTTCTGGAATGCTGATAGCAATCACAAAACACGCAATTCAAATGCGAAATTAAAATGAATGAAAAAATAAATTCCACTTATAACGACTTTGCGACTTCTGTACGTACTTCTGCGCTACGGCAGTATGGCAATATGGCAAGACGGTAGAACGGCGGTACCGCGGTGAGTTGCATGTGATTTGCTCGCTTCATTTTATGATAGGAGCGACATCAAAAAAAAAAGAAAAAATATTAACAAAAAATCGTGAAAAATCGTAAAAAAGAAATGCAATGGTAAATAATAATGTCACAACTGACACAAAATGACTTACAAGTAACGAAAATGAAGGGAAAACATATTAAGTGGTCGCAGTGCAACCAAGGAATTAAGAAGCCAACAACGCATTGGAGACCAAAACCGAAACCAAAACCGTAACCGAGACCGAGACTGAGGCTGAGGCTGAGACTGAGTCCGAGTCCGAGACCAAATGGATTTGATAAGAGAAATCGTAATGAAAATCTAAGAAAAAATGATTAAAAATTTAAGTACTGAAAATGGTCTTTAATGCAAAAGTGCACACATAAAATCCGAAGCAATAAATGACAGTGCGGTCTGCAATTCCAGCTTTGCATTTTATCTTCAATTTAATGATTTAAAGACTTTTTTCTCTGTTTGTCAGAAAAATGAAAATATGTTCCAATTTTGCTTTGTGTAGATTTTGTAATTATCATTGAGAGTAGAAGAAAAGTGGATATTATTCTGACATAAAAGCGCAGAAATTAAGAAATTCCTTTCATCGTCTCTTATCACTTTATCACTCATTGAAACGACAACTCTTTTGCATTTTAATTAAAGCGAGAGCATCACAAAAAAAAAATAAAAACAAAAACAAAAAATCTTTTAAAAAAATAATTATTAAAAATTCTTTAAATATTTCTTTTCTTTTACTTGAAAAATTCTTCAATTAAAAAAATGAATTTTCATATTTTTATATTTTTTTTTTGTTTTTTGTCTTTATAGTTGTCATATGCCGCGAAACACAAATTGAAGCATGTCAACATGTAAATATCGACGACGTCTACATATCGATCGACAGCATAATTATCAGCTTATCAGCGGGGAGAATCCCTGCATTCTACGCCGTTATCAACGATAAATAACAGCGAAAAATTGCCGATTTAAAGGTCAAAATTGTTATAAAAATTTTAATTAAAAATGTTGCAACGCACAAAATCAAATCGGCGTCGAGTTTCCAACGCAAATTCGAAAGCAGCAGCGCAACGTTTGGATGCACTGGAAGAGGCTAACAGGTTCGTGTCTTTGCTACTTTAAACAGTTTTAGTATTATAGAGTCAATACCTGAATGTTGTACGAACAGTTTGAGTATTACAAAATTTTATTTACACACAAGTTTGAACAGTTTTAAAGTTGTTGCACATCATACACATATATGAAAGCTTTCGGTAAATAGACGCAGTATCCATATATAAATTCAAGACGTTCAGTATTTGAATTCTCTATTCTTCTTTATTTAATATTCACTTTACACTTCACACATGAGTTAAGACTTATCAACTGTTAAACATTCTGAGGCTGTAGCTTTTGCTGCTGTTATATGTGTTTTTGTGGTTTCAAAGTTTCCATTCCAACCTTTTAAGATACGAAGTTTGGGAATTGCCTCTTACTATTTTTATACATATCATTGTAAGAGATAATATATTTATACATTTATGTCAGATAATAATATATTTGTGTAAGAAAATAATGTAGACTGTCACGCACAACCGTCGAACTCCAACGCTGACTTACTCTCTTCTATTGCCCGCGTTGACAACCAACTTCCAACAACAAGCACGGCATCCAGTTCCGCTCGTTACATATATTCAAAATTTTGTAATATATTTTCATAAATTTAATGTGTTTAATACAATATATAATATAATAAATAATAAAAAAATTAATATAATATAATATTACTATATATATTGAAGTATAATTGAAATATTTTTTAATATTTTATATATTTAAAATATATTTAAATATATTTTAATATACAATAGAATTATAGCGAAACTTTTTGCTTACTGTGTTTGCTTCCTTTTTCACTCTGCCTAAAATGCATTTCATTGAAAGTGTAAAAGAATCTTCAAAATCTTATTAAAGAATAAAACTTTGAAGCTTTAAGGACATGCAAGCTTAAAGCTTAAGGCAATGTCTTTGGTGTCTAGAGTGCACTGCAATTAAAACTGTGGTTTCAGCTACAACTACTACTATAAACACTTTCAAACTGTTAAAACATTTCTAAGCAGTCCGAAACTGTGAGCATAAAAAGTGTTCCAGATATAGTCTATTTCAGAGGTATTTCTATTTATTTTCAATAATCTTTCGAAATCATAATAATTTAAAGAATTAAAACTAAACAATATTAAAATATATATTAAATTGTTTGTTGCCGTGCTTATCCAATAATGATGATAAAATGACACAATAAAAAAATGTATTAATATTACATATTTAATTGCTTCAAAAATGTTCGACGGCAGTAGGTCAGATGCAGAAGTAGAAATGTTTATACAACATATAGGCCTAGTAGTCAAACCATATTACATTCAATCTAGTATTACTACGACACTTGTGTATTAGTTATCATCAAGTATCAAACTAGTTCCAACAACAAAAAAGCGAAAGAAATTAATAATGAATTTAATTGAACTGATGATGGCTTATTTAAATATCTGAAGGGTCTATTTTCTGCTTGAATATATACTGAAATATTTCAAAACAGCTCAAGTAATTATAATAAAAATGATTAAATCAGCCGTCAAAAGAAATAACGTCATGTAGACAGTTCCTTTGTTACCCACAGTTTCAAGACTGTTCGGAAGGGTATAATTGAAATGGCTCAAGTCATCGATTTTTAATTTGAATTTACGAATAAATACTAAATCATCTATAAGGTCTATCAAATAACTAAGAACTAAGAAGATTGTAGAAGTATTTGAAGGAAATGCGTTCAACCTTCCATATATATACCATTTAATTGAGTATTGCATATTTGTCTAAATTAATATAACATAATCGTAATGCTACCAACTAATCTTTGTCAACTCTTTCGATTAAAGTAGATAGAAACATCATTTAAGGTGACAAATAAAAAAGAACAATCGGATATCTACACCAATTGAGCTCATGTTCCTCAGCGAATTGTCTTCTAGCCTATCTTCTATTTGTTTCACATTATTAGTATGACTACAACTAAAGATCGATTTGTTGGCACATTTGCTAATGATGCAGTAGTTATTGAAGCTGAAGTAGGAAGCAATACTAAAGAAAATCGAAATAATGAACCTCAATACTCATCTATAATCGATACTTTGTTTATACAGATCAAAAGTTATCCAAAAAGCAAGACTTGTTTCTCTGTTACAAAAAAAAACGGTATATGATAGATGGGAATGGATTACGAGTGAAATATTTCTAAGCTTGGGACATATTAATGCACAAAAGTAAATTAAATTAAATCATTAAATTAAGATTTTTCTGAAAAATGATAAAAATCATTCCCCAAAAATCATCCATTATAAACTCTGAATTCATTAAAATAGAATAACTAATAAAGTATCAAACTAAAGATTACAAAAATAAACTGTAAAGTGTATTTTTGGATATATACCGCTCTTTAACTCTCCATATCTCCATAAATCTTTGAAGTCAACCCTACCCCCGTACCAAACGATTTTTCGGCGTCGCCATCCGAAGTTAAAGCACTTCAATACGAAACATTCCGGGTGTGTATGACAAGTTTTGAATTTATAAAAAAATGAATTGAACATTCATTTTTCTTCAGTAATTCGTGAATATTTCTTGTAATTAAAATTGTCTTTCCCCTACTCTATAGGTTCATAACCTCTAAAATGATTGTCGCAACTTAACTTTTTCTTCTCCATTTAAATTCAACTTCTCTTACATTATTTTTTTTTTTTTATCTCTTATATTACTTTTTTATTGTTTTTATTATTTTTTTAATTTGTAGACACAATAATATTCTATTATTAAATTCCATTTATTATATTTTTGCTTTTAATTACAGATGCAGTGACGGTGATTCATCGCAATCCTCCACAGCGGCACCAGTCTTTGTAAGTGAAATGTTAATCATTCTTTTTCTTAGGTTTATTCTTATACGACTTTATTTTAGATTTTATTTTTTTTTTATTAAAAAAAATAAATAAAAATTGTTAAATGCTTTTTCATTGCTCCGGTAAAATGAAAAACCAATAAACAAAAATGTCATTCGCATCACAAGACAAAACTGCACAAACGATGACTTCTTTTTAATTTCCATTTCAAATTGATATTCCATTTTGTTCAGTCTGAAGGACTTTCCACTCCAGTTTATTTGTTCCTTACTTATCTTTTATCTTAAAAAAAAAAACGGAAACCTAAGAGTTTTATATGATTGTGACACTAATGTGGACTCCAAGTTGGTAACCTAATCACTTTCACTCAATTATGTATCTGAAGTTTCTTATTTGATATTTGATGAAATATCCGTATAGCTATCAGTAGTGGTGGAAGTTGTCTTAAAAAGAGAGAGATAGTGTTCAATGATAAGTCGATGATATTGAAAAGTTTCAGCGCCTTATCGCATGATATATTAGCTATAGCTAATCTATATATATGTGGGTTTTGCTATGAAGATCTCTCTGAACCTGATTTGTTAAGCGCTTGGAATTGTCATGACTAATGGCATTAAAATATATCAAGACAATATATACCTATACCTATATTATAAGTATAGGCATAAATTAAGATCGGTCATTTTTTGAAATATATAAGTTTTGATACGAAGATCTCGTTGATGGTTCGTCGAACGATGTGTAACCATGTTTTAACAATTTTTTTTAAGTGCTTGAAGTTGACATGACTGAATGAATATGAATATAATTGATAAACCTCACCATAAGGTTGGCCATGTTTCGGAATACATAGGTTTTATTACGAAGACTTCTCTGAAAGAACGTTGAGCTGTTATTACCATGGTGCTCTAGCAAGTGCTTTTAATTGACATAACTGATTGCATTGAGAGTAATTTGAAGCAACTTGCCATAAACAAAATAAATATAAAACAAAGAATAGCCACGCTCTGGTATATATAGTTTTTGTTACTTAGATCTTTTTGTAGATCGATAAACATGATGTAACATTGTGATCTTTCAATACTCTTGAGCGCTTGGAACTGGTGGTGCTGCGAGTGATAGAGAAACTTTGCCATAAGGTTAGTAAGGTTTCGGAATATATTGGATTTGTTATTAAGATATATCCGATGGATCATCGACCTGATGTGTGATTGTGCTCTTATAATTATTTTCAGTGCTTGGAATTAGCATACCTCACGGTACTGAGAGTGATTTGAAGTAACCTGCCATAAAGTCAGCTTTTGCTGAAATTAGCATCACTGATAAGATTTGAGGAACCTTGCCATAGACAACTTAGATATACAATGAGGTCGGTCCCACTATGTGGCAACTCTCATTAGTTTTGGGACAGACACACGTGTTTTTTCACATTAGATTGTAACTGAATTAGATGTTTAAGGAAATCACTGAGGCATACCGCAAAGACAAATAAAAAACTTAACAAAAATGTCAAAAATGATAACAAAATAACACATAAAATTAGAACTGAAAGGAAATAAAAGAAAGGAAAAACTATTAAAAATGTAACAAAACAAAAAAAAAAAAAAGAAAAACGGAAATAAAAAACGCATTTCTTTGTTTTCGGTGAACAGCGAATGCATCTTCAGCCATGGCATCCATGGGCATCCATGCGCTTTATTCGGAATTTATTTTTTATGACAAGTGTTGCAAGTGTGACGTGTGTTGCGAGTGTTGTGAGTGTTGCAACATTGCACCCAGGCATCGTAAAAATTGAGATAAATGCAGTTTTAAGTATAAACAAATCACGACAATTGCACCTTGTTTGCTCCTCTGCCTGTTGCCGTTGCCGTTGCTGTTGCTGATGAGCTGTCATTGTGACATGTGGCAACGTGCCTAATTTGAAGATCAAAGTAAATTTTCTTGAATTGTTTATTATGAATTAACAGCCACTCCATATGGTGCACATATATGCATACAAGAGCCCATCTACACATATATGAATTCACTTAAATTTTTATTAATTATTTTGAGCTAAAAATATTTTAGCCCCTTTTGGTAAAAGTGTCCAAAAAATTGGACAAACTGTTTTTGTGTCTAAAATGAGTTTTTTTCATAGGTGTTCGTCTATTTTAAGGTTTAAGAATTTCTTTGAAAACCTACTGCTCTTAGCATTTAGCTCTAAAAATGCTTTTTAATTTCAATTACAATCGATCGTAATTGGACTACAATGCGGGTGTACAATATTAGATACCGAAAGTTATAATTTGAAACTTAGTCCTAAGATGATATAAACTTAAAAATGTTCTTGAAAATGTAAACCATTACACAAAAACATTAGACAGAGGTACTCAATGGTTATAAAAATTGGACACATTTTGTTGTTGTCGTTAATGATTTTCTGTTTCTGTTTTTTTTTTGTGTTGTATATATATTAGGCGTATTGAAATTGAATACCCTTTGAGAAATCGACGAAAAATGATATGTTCTCTTGTCTTTAAGGAACAAAATGTTTTTACTTCCCCCGCAAGACTGCTATATTATACAACTAAAACTTTTAGTCTGTCTGTTGGTAGAGTAATCTAACCATTACTCTATTGAGCGACGCTTTAGAAAAATTTATTGGAAATGGATCAGCTATTGTTACTAAATTTGATAGCAAATTAAGAAACTATCGGTCTTATCATCTAAACAGTATAAATGCTTATAGGTACGAATTCGGTGTCTGAGTTAAACTTAGAATGTCTTAGTTAGACATTCTTCCCAAGCGCTCAATTTTTTCTGTCAAAAAAAAAAATAAACTGATCAAAAATTTCTAAAAACGGATTTTTTTATAAATGATTTTACAGGATGATCATAAGAAATATTTGAAAAATCAAAGGGAAGAATGATTTTTGCTCAGTAGATTAGGTTTGTGTAGAATTAGATATTGAAGCGATCTAACTAATTCTTCAGAATAACTAACTCATAAGAAAAATTGTAACTTAGATTTAAAACTGTATTTGCTTACGCTTTGCCAGTAAAGATTCAATATAAACCTCTAACCAGGAAATACTATGTTACTCTTATGTGGGTACCGGGACACGAAGGCCATGAGGGCAATGAAATAGCAGACTCCCTAGCAAAGAAGGGTGCATGTACTCATTTTCTAAGTGAAAAACATTTAATTAAAGACTTTGTTGAAAATATTTATTTTTTCATAACTAAATATATGTTGTGTATTTTAAAATTTCAAAACAGGTAATCTTTAAAAATAGATATTTTCTCTGAACTTGACATTTTAATTAAACTTCATCAACTCAATTTCAAATAAGATGTCGTTCATCAAGCCATCATATGCATCTTTAGGTGCAACAGCATCCTGGAAATTATCTTCTACTTCAACTTGTGTAGTTTCACATGATGTGGAATCAATGGTTTCAGAGATATGAATAGAATTAACAGGTGTTATTTCACTCTGCAAACTAATAGAATTACTATCATTAACCAAACCATCAGATACTACAGTGGTTTCTACGGCGTTACTGGCTTCGGCATGTGGAGTTTCATAATATGATGTTGAATCCATAGTTTCTGAAAAATGTGTAGAATGTACTATAGATCTTTCACTCTGTGAACCCCTGGATTCAATGTTGTTCCCCATGCTATCACATTTTTCAGTGGCCTCCACATCATCTTCGGAAGTATTTTTGAATTCGAATTGTGGAATTGTGCAAGACGAATCTGAATCGATAGTTTCGGAAAAGTGAGTGTAACATACACGCGTACCTATCTCGTTTGCTAGTCCATCATATTCTTCACTAGATTCAACGTCATCATCGTAGTAATCGGTCAATTTAGTTTGCGGAATTGCATCACATGATGCGATAGTTTTAGATTTATACATGGAATATGTTAAAGGTAGTTCAGAGTCTGAACCACTAGAAGTGGTCTGAACTGGTCTAATCTGTTGGTATTGCTGAATTGGTTCACAATAATATTCGAACATTTCGTCATCTGACATGTGGAGAAACTTCGGAGTAATCTGATCTCTGTCAAAAGATGGGATTTGTTGTAAGTGGGTTTCGTCACCAATTTCCTTTTTCGTGTCTTCGATATTCGTTTCCACTGCTGATTTTATCATTAACGATGACATTTCCGTCTGTGTTGACGTACCGACTGTATTGCAACAAATATCTGTCTGTGCTGAGGAAGTTGAGTGGCAGAAACTCTCAGTCTGTACTGATGCACTCACAGCATTGAACCAATGATCTGTCTGCGATGAAGACGTCATATGCCAGAAAACTTGAGTCTGTACTGATGTACTCACGGCATTGAATAAACAATCTGTCTGAGTGGAAGAGGTTATAAGCCAGAGAGCATCAGTCTGTACTGTTGCACTTATAGAATTAAACCAACAATCTGTCTGCAACGAAACGGTAACCTGTGGTGATGAGGTTACAGTATTGCTTATCCTCTTGACATCAAGTACTGAATCCACTTCAACTCCATATATATTTTGAAATTCAACACCAATAGGAAGCATCGTTTTCATTGTTTTCCTTTCGGTGCTCTGTTTGAAAACTTGTTTGCTTGAAGCTGCTTCAGGCTTGATTTCGTGCTCAATTTCATTAGTTTCTTTCTTGGTTCGTTCAATGTTGCTGATTCGCATAGTGCTTTCACAACATACACATTTGATATAAAAACCAAGTTTCTTTGAACGTAAGACATCTACTGGTAGTATTTCTTCTGAGTCTTGACCCAGGTACTCATTACAAGCCTTCTGTTGTTGTGTTTGTACTAAACGTTGGCACAAGGAATCTGTTTGCATTTCTTTTGAGTGAGTGTGTTCCACTGTATGAGTAGCATACTGAGTTCGACCAGTAATCAGTTCATTAATGCTCCACTTACAACAATCCTTAACCTTAACTATCATACTTATATCTTTCATGTTCTTTTTATTGCAATAATTATCCCAATTTGATGCTCTTACATGACAATGAGAGCATCTCAATTCATTGCTTAAATGAGTTTCAGTGGAAGAATTCTTCTTACTGTATTTTTTGTTAGACTGATGATATTGTGCTTTATCTTCATGAGCGCTTGTGGTGGCCTCATCTCTTCGTAGTTGCTTATACCGCTTAGATTCATCACAGCGACGAGAATCCATCCATTCATTTGCTTGGACTTGACATTGGGTGGCTTCATCGCGTCGGTGTTGAATATAAGCTTCTATGTCATTATTTAAATAAGAAGAATTTGGTTCGTTTGTTAGCATTGCATTATCTTTAAGGTTTGCCTTTTCAAGTATTCCTTTAATTTTTGATTCTAGTTTCGGCTCTTCACTATTGAGTGAATAACATTCTTTTCTACGTTTTTGATCATCGTTGTTAAGGTTTAAAAACTGCATAACACGAGCACAATAGTTACCGCGAGAGTTTGTGTCTGAAGTTAGCTGTTTGGATATAGAATCACGCTTCTGATTTTTCAGATCTGAATTATCAGGTTCAGGACTTCGGTGACGGACGTTTGTGCGAATAGCTTTATTATATTTAGTACACTTCAATTTGCTTACTAAATCGTCTTCTTCAAGAGCGTACTTCTCTGGGTATTTATTGAGGGATTTACATTTCTTGTAATCGGTTTTATAATCATAACTTTTAGCTTTACCCTCTTCATTATTGTCATTTTTGACTACATGTTTTATGCCAAAGTGGTTTTGTATGCTATTATTATTACTTATATCCCTGAAATCATCTGAATAATTCGTTTGAAAATGAATAGAAGTGGTTGCTTTCTTTTTCGTGACCTCTAAAGACTGTGGAGTAGATGGTTGTAAGCACCTAAGCTTTTGTAGGGACATAGCTTTATTTTTTTCCTTACATAAAATATTATTATCTTCACTCCGAGTCTTACCCTCAGTTAGGGTACGTTCTCTATATTTCCATATTTTACATAAATCTGCTCGCAATTGATCTCTTGCTAATGTGATCCTTTCCTCAGCTGAGGGTATTGCCGATTCAATAATTTGATCTGAACGTAATCTGCCACCTAAATGCTTGGTGTATATACTTCTGTCACCTTCTAGGGTTTGTTTGTTGGATTTGCGGAAGCGCAATTTTTGCTTCATTAAATATTTTAACATGTGCACAAAAACATTCAGTCCGAGATACGTGGCACCTGAAGCTAAGTCCATCATTGTCTCATTATCCAAATTTTTGTGTTCTTCACAAAACTGTTTCAAAATTTCTTGGGGTGAATATTGAATTATTTCAATATCCTTTTCTTCCGGGATATGGTAAGTTTTTAACCAACTAATCAATCTCTTTAAGATTGCGCAATCTATCCCATAGGCTTTAACAAACTTAACATTGGTTTGACTTTCACTAACTGGACCCATTGAAATATTTAAGTTTTTTAACTGTTTCGCCAATTCATATTCCATACAAACATTCTCAAAGTTCTTTGTTATTAATATTACATATCTCTGATCCATTTACGATAATTTTCTTAATTTAAGCACAACTTTTCTTATTATATAAAACACTCGTTATAACATCGAGTGTAAAAATTCTGATTAAGAAAAAAAAATGTTTTAACTAGAAGAAATAAAATTTTTGACAAGTTAAGATATATTTATTGGAATACTTAATTTTTTTCTTAAACGACATGAAACACAGTGCTTAAATACATGAAACATAGTGCTTAGCCGTGTTCCCTACCAGACATTTACACTGTCGTAATTGTCCGCACTATATATCTTATCCAGTCATTTTTTGCATGAAATTCAATACAAAATTTATACAAAAGCCTGCTGTTGAAATTCGATAATAATCCAACTTATGTAGTATATATAATATGATATATAATATATATATATATGTATCTATAATGGTTGTGTAGCGTTTAGCAAAGCTTCAAACACTACTATTCGCCAGTTAGAAATTGCTTAAAGTCAGGCTCTGAGAAGACTCTGAGAGGACGAATGACATCCTCAGGAACCTCAAGAGGTTTAAAACTCAAAAGGTTAAAAAAAAACCTTAAATCTTTAATAAAACCTAAAATGCTTTCCGATAAACAGTCTTACTTGCTTACTCATTTACTGTAGTACTTTTCTTCTTGTGGAGGATAGGGCCTCTGAACGAAGAGTCTTTTAGTATGTTTTCACTGGCTTCATTAGATCAGTTAACTTACTTGAGATTGCTTGAATTACTTGTATCTGAAGTAGCTTAACTTATCTAATGAAGCCAGTGAAGAAGTACTATTAGAGCTGTCTGAGCTTTCTGAAAAATAAGTCCTAAGCTTGATTAAACCACGTTTCGTTTGTGCTAGAGAGTCACATAGCAAATATCAGGCACTTTTTTCGTTTTCTTCACAATTGCGATAGATGCAATTAATCAGAAGATTCAGTCTTCTAGCATGTCTTCTAGCAACGGCTATGATTCGTCAATAAGGTTACCCAAGAGTTAACAGAATTTGTTAGAATTCTTCTTAATGAATGATAACCAACTCCGTTGAGTTATGCAGATAGTATGTCCAGGTCTTTTAGTTGCTTTGAATGATAACCTGAGGTATCCCATCCGATTTACAGAGATATTTTGTGACACAATAATCGAACATAACCCAAAGTAGAGAAATTTTGATATGTGTTCACATCAAGTTTAAAGGTATGCAGCAGTCAGAAACTATTCTAGATATGAATTGTACTCAACTCAAGGAGTTTACATACCTTTAATGTCCTTTTTCTTTTTTCATATATAATTTTAAGTGAAAATATATTTTGGAATTTAAATTTTTAATTAAATTTAATCTGTACTTTTAAACAAATAAAAACCAACAAATTTTTTTGAACATTTGTAGGCATCTGTTCATCGACCACGGCATAATGGAATTTCAGCTATCAAACGCGATGGCATGCCAACAACATCAACACAAAATGCAACTAAAATGCCCACAAAAATTGTACATAACCAACAACAGCAGCAACAACAACGCCAAAGCTACCATCAATACCAGCAGCAGCGAAGACAACAGCAACAACGCCAACAACAGCAAACTCAATTATTGCAACAGCAAAAACAACAACAGCAACAACAGCAGCAGCAACAGCATATGAAAATCGCGAACAATTCAACGCAAAAATCAACAAAAACGAAAAATTATTGGCAGGAACAGCAACAGCAACAGCAACAACAGCAGCAGCAGCAGAAACAAAATATATTAACAATAAAGCAAGTATATGGGACTGAAAATGCTGCAGTGGGCAGGCAATCAATTGTGGTGCCATCAGCACAACCGCTGCCAACAACAACGACTGCAACAGCGACCAATACTGGTTCCTCCACTTCAGCAACGACAATGGGAAATATTAAACAAGTGCAGCAAATGCATGCAATGCATATGCAACATCAGCAACAGCATATGGAAGAACAACAATATGATATATCACCTACTAAAATGAGTCGTATACCAATCCAACAACAACAACATCAGCAGCAACAGCATCAAACCCAACAACAACAGAACTCCAATGAAATCCCGAAAACTGCTTCTAATTTGCTTAATGACATTTATGAAAAGCACTTGTTGAATCAGACAACATTCCATGATTCAACCGAACAATTTAAGCAACAGCAATATCAACAACGATTTATGCAACAGCAGCATCCGTCTAGGTTAGCTGGCAGACAAATGCAGCCACATAACACTGGGCGTCACTTCGGTGTAAACGAATTTAATTTTCATAATAATAATACAACAAACAATCGACAACAGCAACAGCAACAACAACAACAAGAACAACTGCAACAACAGCAGCAACAGCAAATTGAACAATTTCCGAGTATAACCAATAGTACATTTGTAAGTAGTAAGGTACAAAAACCAAGTCATTTTTTAAAAGTACCACCACCGCCACCACCCACTGTACCAGAGACACACCTACAACATCAGCATCAGCATCAACAACAACAACAATTGCTAGGCTCATTTTCATATCAACAACATTTTCAATTCTCCGATGCATATGTTGAACCAGTAAATACCAAACAACATTTTCTTATGGAAACACAACCGCCACCACCACCAGCACCATTGAATCATGTCTACGAAACCATAAAGGAGCGTCCACCAATGCCGCCTCCACCACCAGAACGTGCACGTCACGGCTCATCAACAAATGATGGGCCACCGCCATTGCCACCTTTACGTCAACTGCAAAAACGTTTATTGGAAAACTCAATTGCTGGCGCCAGTGCACGTTCGCAAAAAGGAAAAACCAATAAAAAAACATTAACAGTTGTTGCAGCTAGCGAAGATTCCGGCAACACAAATGGAAATGCAAACAAAACATCGACAGAACAAAAGAAACTACATACCAGAATGTTGCTGGCACAAATTCCACCTGCTTATGTACCACCGCCGTCAGCAATAGCCACCGTAACATCAACAGTCGCTACAGTAAATAATTTCAAACTACAACAGCAACAACAAAATGAACAGCAACAACAATATATCGAACAGCAGCAGCAGCAACAACAGCCACAACTGCAACAACAGCAACATCAATATAATCCGCAACAACGCACTAAGGCGGATGGTGAACAAAAAGCTTTCATATACCAACAAGCACGAGAGCAGAAACTTCATAAACAACATCAACAACATCAGCAACGACAACAACATCAGCAGCAGCAGCAGCAACAACAACCACAACAACAACAACAACAAAGTGAACAAAAACAACAATTGCAACAGCAACATCAGCTTAATAAAGTTTTGCCAATGCAACAACAACAACAACAGCAGCAGCAGCAGCTTAAACAACAACAACAACTGCAACAAACAACTGCTTCACAACAACAAAATCATCAATTATTGGAAATTGTGCAAAAGTCCAAACAATCAAACGTGCGTGAACATCCGGTAGGCGCAATTGATACCAAATCTTCTGCAATTAATCAGAAAGCAACAGAAATAGTATCAGCGGAGAGTAAAGCAGTAAGAACGGCGAAATCTGCAGCTGCTGGCACAAATGCTTCTGCTTCTGCTTCTTCTTCTTCTTCCGCTACTAACACCAATACTAACAATGCAAATGGTATTGCTGCTGCTTATGTTGCTAATGGTGCTGTTTCTGTTGAACATACACTACAACACGCTGGACTCTTGCAATCCAACTCCACAACGGCAACATTCGGCTATAACAATGCTAGCCATAACAACAGTACCAGCAACAGCAACAGCAACAGAAACAATAATAGTAATTTCAATAGACCCAATACATTGCCCATTGTATTCGAAGAGGATACCGGCGAATTTCAGGACGTCTTAGTTTTGGAAGAGGACGGCACCGCGAAACTACAATATCGTCACGGTAAAATCGAAGTACGTCTAGAGACAGCACAAGCCATGGCTGCGGCCGCCTATTATGCTAGGTAAGTCAATTCAGTTTAAAATAATCGATATAACGTCACATAGGTGGAGTAGAAGGAGAGGTTAGGAGCTTCGCTAAGCAGAATTGTATCTATTTGTACCTGAACTGCTTTTGATTAGGACGAAGCAACACAATGCATTGTGTTGATGGACACATATTTAGTATGCCGTTGTTGTATTTTGCTTACAAGGCAACCATTATCAATGCTTTATTATAAATGATAGGCAACTATTAAAAAGTGAATAAGAGTTATAAAAGAATAAGTTAGAGACAATATGTCAGCAATTTGCAGCTGTTGTCAAATTATCCGCAATAAAATAAAATTCAAAACTTTAAACTTAAAATCAAAACTTATTTTTAGAGAAGCAATCCATTGATCTCTTGAGAAATAGGTATACAGGGTTGGGCGATTGAAGTGTTACCAACTGATATTGCCAACTGAGTGAAATTCACACGAACGACAGCTGTCGTTATAGAACAAAAGTAGTTCGAAATGGATTTTAAACGTAATAATGTGATTGCGTTATGTTTGACTGAAAAATCACAACCAGCTATTATTTGTGGTTGGAGCCCTCAAAGTGAAGAAAATGATTGTGTGTCGTACCAAATGCTATGATAGTGATATCACCTGAAATGGTTCGGAAAGTTCGTCGTAGTAATAATCAAATGACCAAAGTAAAGCATCCGAAGCATATTCCAAAATGAGCTCAAGGTAAAGCCTTACAAGTTCCAAAAGGCACAAGATCTAACAGTAGAGCCACAAAAAGATCTCACAGCAAAGCCACAAAAAGTTAGACTCGCAGGAGCACTGGAGTTTTTAGGCTAGCATGAACGTGGCGACTTTCCAAACATTGTGTTCTCAAATGAGAAACATATTCCAATTGAGCAGTTCATAAAATCCAACTGCTCAAAATTATTATGCTTAATTTCCATCTCAGTAATTTTCCATCTCAAGTAATGGTATGAGCAGCTTGGTGTCGAAGTCAATGAGATTCATTATTGGGAAAATGTTTTGAAAGTTGCTTTAGAGGGCACGCAAACATTTCGGTATTAGACCATGGACGCTCCAACAATACTCGGTACCGTATCATAAAGTTCGTGTGAACCAAGAATTGTTAACAATTCATGTTCCACACTTCATTTCGTCCACACGAAATGAATGGCTTTCGAATTCGTCGGATGCAAATTGGATGAACTATTTCATCTGGGCTATTTTGAAGAGCAATGTGAGGACTAAAAAATATACCAGTATGGATGTGCTGAAGAAAGCCATTGTTCGGGAATTGACTAAAATACTGGAAGATCACATTCGAGAAGCATGCAACTCATTTTATAACCGCTTAAAGGCAATAGTCAAGACAAAAGGTGGCCACATCGCGCTAGACTAAATGGATTCTGAAATTTTGATTATTTCCATAAATTTTTGTTATATGAATCAATAAAAAATAATTTCATACAAAAAAAGCTATGGTCGCTTGAATAGGTAACACTTCAATCGCTTAACCCCGTATATGCATACAACCAGCAAAACAAATATGAGTGAGGGTTTTGTAAATTAATTATAAAAATTATTGAGATTCAAATGATATTATTTATTTATATTTACGCTCACATCGACAAAAAAAAAACTGACATAGCGAAATGAGCTTCAAATAAGTTAAAATTTCAATTAAAATGAATTTTGGTTCAAAATTTAAAAATGTTCCAATCGGTATATATACCTTTTGGTCATGATTAGAAAGTGCCTAAAGTTACCAAACAGGAATACAAAAAAAAAAAAAATTAAAATAAAATAATGAAAAAAAAAATTTTAAGAAATAATAAAATTTTGTTGTTGTGATTTACTACTGTTTAAAACCAGAAACTTAAGAATTGAGTTTCTTTCATAAAAGAGAACATTAAAAATGAATTCAAAATAAAATATGATTTAAAGATTTAATTATATGAAATTTTTTCCTTCAAGCTTATAGTTTTAAAAATTAAAAACTAATAATTATGTTTATATCACTTATAGATATATATAAATATATTCTGTATATGTCAAAAAGGCATAATATATAGAGGCATGTCAGTTGTATCATAATTAAAAAATAGTACTTTTACTGCTATTTTGGTATATTTTTGTATATCTAAATTAGATATATTTGGATATGTGAGGACATCCACACAAAACAATACACATTTGATCCTGCAAGACACAAACTCTGACATTTATTAAGGCCATATTATTTAGGAAGTCATGGACGAGGTACAGATAGCCTTGTTTCAATTTTATAATTTGGATTGAAAATAACAATTTTGATTCTGATAAGTCCATAAGCCCTTTTTAGATAACATGGCTCTAAATGAGCTGCACTGTATTGACCAACGCACAAGGTGGCAGTATTAAAATAATGCGATAAAAATTCGGTATTTTCTTAACCAGTAGAGATATAAAAATAATATTCTCCTTAAATAAAGTTTTATTTTTCTACCTGTTATAGTTTTAGCGATTTTCCAAAAAAAATAAAAGTTGAACATGTTTGGACCCGAATTTTGAGAGATTCAAATAATTTTGATTTGGTTCAAAATATATTTATAAGAAACGTCATCTTAAAAACTATATATAACGGAAATTTCATTTTCTTTAGTGCAGAAAACACTGAATTTTGTTTGTTTAATTTTAATTTTTCCGCACTGTGGACTCGTTACCTAGTTAAATCTAGATTTAATCAAAATTTCTCTAATTTTACATTTGAAGTGACCATAACTATCTGGAAAACATGGCTCTAAGTATAATAGCTGTGTTTAATTGACATCATTAGTTCCTAACTATGTTCAAAATTCAGTTGAAATCGTTATTGACGGATAGATGACTTTGTGCTACTATTTTCACAGATAGAGGGCGCTGTCATGCTACGCAAAGAGATATGAGTGTATAGATGTGTAATTGCATTTGTTTATTGAAAAAGTCGTGATTGAGAAAAAAAAGTAGAGAATGAAAACATTATATCGATTAGCTAACAATTAAAAATAAGATTCTAGATAATCTGGTAATATATACATTAATTAAGTCGATATTAATTAAAAAATAAATAATATTATAAATCGCATTTCTTAAAGAATATTAAATTCTCTATTGAAAAACTTGTTAAGAAATGCCAACAAATTCCAGAAAATAAGAAAATCTTTTTATTTTCATATAAAAAGTACAATAAAATATTACGTAGTCTTTTTTTTTCTAATAAAATAGATTATGCTTCAATGGTAACAGATTTTTTGCTGTGAGGGGATTATTAACTTTCCACTCACTTTTCATATTTATTATCCGGTCCTAATTTTCCATGAGGCTGCATACCTAACCTATCACAAGATTATGAAGTTTAGGGTATCAAAATATATGATTAGCAGTAAATACTCATAGATACAGTGTAATGTTTTAAATTAAAAATCAAAAATTTCTTGAAAAAATTTTAATTATATTATACTTTAAACAAGTTAATTAAGCAATAAATTAAAACTGTCATATTGCACATAATTTGAATTAAAAACTCAATTATTAAATATTACTAAGTAAACTCCATCGATTCGTACAAGCAGTCATTATCTAATGATACATTATACATTCATATACATTACTTCAAAGTTCAAGAATTAGAGTGCCATACAATGTGTCTGATCGTAACAATTGACTTGTGAAAATTTAATATTAAAGTAGTATCGTTTGTCATATGTAGTTTATCATTTTATCATATTTACAAAATGAACAAGATGAGAATTATATTCCAATATAAAATTACAACATGCAAGGAGTTTGTATAGTTTCTATTTTTATGTAGAACATTTATGTATTTAAATTAATTACAAATTTAACCCTACACTACACAGAAGTTACAAGCTATACTCCACAATTTTTCTATGTGACAGGATTATTTACTTACTTTACTTAGTTAGCTATTACGACGTGAGTTGTTTTTGACCGCGTCTAATAGTCTCCGCCAGCCAGCCCGCTTAGTTACTTGCTGTCGCCAGTTGGTAGTACCGAACATCCCCATATCGCTGGTCACCTGGTCCTTCTAGCAAAGTTTTAGACGTCGTCTTCTGCGTTTTCCACCTGCGGGTAGCGAATCAAACACCTTTCTCGCCCTGCACTTTCTTTCATTCGCATAACATGGCCAAAGCATTGAAGCTGCTGAATTTTTATGCTGTGAAGCTCCTAAAGCTCATCGTTTCATTCAATTCGATATACGTGGCTAATGTGTAAGAGACTATATATCTTCCGAAGGATTTCATTTTCCAGAATTATTGGGAAAGAAGTATGACAAGATTGGTACTTAAGGAATTTTAAATATGTAAACTTCATTATATTCACTCAATATAATGAAGCCAATAATCACTCGATTGTTTTTCATTCGGGATTAAATTTTATTTTCTTTTTATGCTTAGATGTATATTTTCCGAGAAAATATGTCACAATGCAAAACTAAATATTCACACTAGTACTCACTGCAATAATATAGAATTTTCTGTAAGTTGCACTGAAGAGTCATTTTCGTGCGTCAAATAAATATTATATAATCCGATTGACTTTTTTATTTTTCAACATTCGAACCAAGTTACTATCAAATTATTCTTTAAATTAGTCTCTAAGAATTTTATGGTGATTAGACTGAAGAGATAAATGTGGTATCATCTGTGTATGTATCAACAAATACAGGATTATTTCTTTGAAGATGAGCGTATCAATTGAAGAGATAGTGTAAAACATAGGCTCTAATAGACTGCCTATTAGAATACTTACTGCATATGAGTATTTTTTTATAAGTGCTACTTTAATTCCAATATAGAACGAACTATTACTCAAATATAATATGAGGTTAGGTTAATTTGTACCGTCGTTCCAAAGAGATCTGCTTGGGCCTATTGGCTTAACGTGTTATCAAATATGTTATTAGTTTAAAATGAAATAAGATGTGAACATTTTTTTTGGTTTTATAGTTGCCGATAGATTTTTAGTTTATT